GCACAAAAAAAACACACACACACACACACACACACACACACACACACACACATATATATATATATGCCTATAAGCCATATCAAAGCACAAGGTTCAAACACATATCACTAATAAAATCCTGTACAAACAATTTAAAAGAAGAGTAGGGTAAAATACAATACTTATAGGATACGATACAATATAATTTAATACACAAATATGTAAAATAGAATAAAATGACATAAAATTATATTTCGGTGTTACCCTTACAATCTACCCCAAAGAAAAGCGTTAACATTAAATCAGGCTCTCCTGCAACTTACCCGAACGGGCCCGGTGTCAGCCACAGGAATATGCGCAGCACGCATACACACACATGTGGCATGCGCAGGGATCGTACCTGCCTGTGACGCTCTGCGATGCTCCAGCTGCTTGGTGGAGCGTTGCGCAGGTGCCGTATGCGCCATGCACGTGCATGGAAGCAGCAAAGGCTTAAAGGACAGGTAAGGAGCTCAGGCGGGCAGGTGGGCCCTCCGGAACACCGTACCAGAACGGTACCTGGTGCTCTGGGCAGGCTCCGGTACGCCCATACCACGGCGTACTGCCTGCAGCCCACCATTGACTGTATCCCACCCTAACCCTAACTCTAACCCTCCAGTATGGAATGAGAGAGAGCAGGTTTGACCACCTTCTCGTGAAATCCCTCCAAATATCTGACAAATGGTATTCTATCCTTCCTTGGTCCTCTTTCCTCAGAGCTAAACACCTTGTCCCCAAATCAGTCCCCATAGGTCGTAGACTTCCAGTCCCTTTCAACAGGAGAAAGAGCGAAGACGGAATCTGAAGGCACTATTATAGTCTCTCCCTTCGGAGTTGGTCACCTGGGTTTATATTCTGCTTGCACAGATTGGGGAGCACCCCACCCTGGTAGGCATTCCTTCCTGCCAGGGTGCAAGGATCACACAGCACAGCTGGCTGACATGTGGATGTTAAAACTGAACTTGCCTATTTGTCCAACAGGAGCGTGTATGGCAAAGTGGACTCCAGAGAATGCCCTGAGCAGGCTACAGGCTGAACTGGAGAACGTAGAGGCCAAAGTGGAGGTGAGTCATGACCAACAAGCTACCATCGCTTCTCCAGGACTGCTGCCAGAAGTCCTTTTTTTTTAATATGCAAAAGGAATAAACTCTTTCTCTGAATCTTCTTCCCACCTAGAGATAGAGGAGCAAAGTGACGCCAGGCCACTGTTCTCCATGCCATCCCATCAGAGGTCAACTTCCCAAACTGGTTCCAGCCTATGCCCGGAAAGGCAGAGGTGTGATGGACCAGGAAGGGAAACAAGAGAGTTTTCTTGTGCTTCTGTCTAAGCTTGAGAAAAGGGCCCCTTTTTGCTACTTGAATGTTGAGCTTCAAGGAGGTGCAGTGCAGTGGTGGGTTCTGGATCCCATTCCAAGTGGTACAGTTGGAATGGGCCCAACGGCGTCCATGTGGATGTGCGCAGCACACGCGCATAAACGTGCATGGCGCTTACAAGTGCGCCAGGCACGCATGCATCTTAGCACCTCCGCGAGTCTCCACAACTCTCCGGCTGCTCCATGGAGCGTCGCGTAGGCGTTGTACGCTCCATGCGCGAGCGCGGAAGCCTTAAAAGACAGGTAAGGAACTTGGGCAGATGGGTCCTCTGAAGCACCGTACTGGAACAGTATCTGGTGCTCCAGGCAGGCTCCGGTACGCCTGTACCGGGGCGTACCGCCTGCAAACCACCACTGGTGCAGTGATCTAACTTTTCCAAGCTGCCTACTCAAGAATTGGCTTGTGGCCAGTATGGAGCTTTGAACAGCCTTTTTAGCTTTCACAAGCTACCGTATCTATCTGGCTATAATTGCAGACACACAACACACTGAACTGGGCCAATGAAAGATCTAAACGACTGCATTCCCAGAACATATCAAACTTGTGCAGGATTAACTTTAGGACTTTTTTTCTTTTTTCTTTGTTAGCTGAGCCCTCGAGCTGTTTGGTTCATTTCGGTTCAATGTATTGTGCAAAAAAATTTTAAAAATGGGTTGAGTCATCCGGTTCAATGTGTTGTGTGAAGCCTTCCTTTATGTTATTACTATTACCATATCAACGATAAATATCAAATTAAACATGTTGGACTGTTTCAGTGGTACTCAAGCTATGGAACGTCGTCCCCTCCTTGGGAGAGACAGCAAGACACTTGGAGTGGAGGTGAGGCATGATGTTGTAGGGACACATAGGCCCCTACAGCATTTATATATTTAAAAAGCCTCCCTCGCATCAAGCTCAAAGCTGGTGACATCATGGACACACCCAGGCTCACCATCTGCCTGCTTCAAGGATTATTATTCCCCAACTTTTCTGCCTAGTCTAAACTCTGGGATTCCAGGAGGTCTCTCATCCAAGTGTTAACAAAGGTTGATGCTTGGGGTTGGACTGGAAGACCTCCGTGGCCCCTCCCAACTCTATTATTCTATGTTCTATTCTATCTTCTAACTTAACTTTCTGGATCAGTCAAAGCTAGCTGAGTGCTGCCATCTGCTGATAGCCAGAGTTTTAGAGTCTCTCCTGGTAGGAAGAGCGGGTAGCACAGCTTTAGTACTGCGGCCACCCCGGCTGCCCTTCTTACAATGAGCTTGCAATGAAACAAAACGCCATACAAGTAGTCCTCTGCTTGTGACCGTTCATTTAGCAGCCATTCAAATTTATGACGGTGCTGAGAAAGGTGACTTATGGACTTTGATCTTACAACTGTTGTCGTGTCCAGGCGCTCATACAGTCACAATACGGATGCATGGCAACCAGCTTGCACTTACGACATACAATCGCCTTCTGTGACCTTCCCAAATTGGCTCCTGGCAAGCAAAGGAATTGGGGAAGCCAGCAGGGAAGGTCACAGTCACATGATGTCCCACTTAATGACTGGAGGTGGTTTGCTTAATGACTGGGGCAAAAAAGGTTGTAACATTCGATGCAGTCACCTGGTGCCTGCCTTAAGGAACACACTGGGTTAACAGTGAATGTTCTGGTCTTAATTGTGGTGGTTGGTCAAGGCCTACCTGTAGAGCTTTTGACTGGAACAGCTTCTTTTCCATTAAGGCAGTGTTTCTCAACCTTGGCAACTTGAAGATGTCTGGACTTCAACTCCCAGAATTCCTGGCTGGGGAATTCTGGGAGTTGAAGTCCAGACATCTTCAAGTTGCCAAGGTTGAGAAACACTGCATTAAGGGATGACCGAAAAGCCTTTTCCAAATGCCGTTGTTGGATTAGCAGTCTAAGCCACTGATACTGTGTATCTGGCTGTTAAATGCCTGTGCATTGTGTGTCTATGTACACACATGTGTTCGTAGGGGATTTTGCATCTTGGTTTGCAAAAGAATATGGTCAAGGGGCTAAGAAAATAGAGGGAACCCATATGCCAATTATGCTTGTTAAGTTTTGTGCTGGTTTGAATGGCTTGGAAAGAACTGGTTTCCATTCTTAAATGAGATGGGCAATGTGGGCCTCTCCAACCGTTTTGGACTCCAGCTCCCATCAGCACCCATTGGCATAACAATGTTACAGGAATTGTAGTTCAGGACAACTGAAGGAATTTGAGTTACCTAGCAATGTTTGTAATCTTGTCCCAGGCATCCTTCGGTAAATTCCTTTGGCAAATTGTGAATGTATTGGTGTTTGCAGCTTCCCTTAATCACCTTTTGAGCTAATACAATAGCAATTTCCCATAAGATTGTGCCAGGAGTTGCATTTGCACAGTGCAATTAATTTGATTTTTGAATTAACCCATGTTCTGGATTTGCACAAAACATTAAACTGTGATAGCATTGTAGAGGGTGTGGCTCTTCTTCTAGAGTTTGGCCGAGTTTGGTTCTAGGGCAGAGGTGAGGAACAATGGCCCTTTATGACTTGTGGACTTCAACTCCCATGGAGGGGGCCATGGCTGGCTCAGGAATTCTGGGAGTTGAAGTCCACAAGTCATAAAGGGCCATTGTTCCTCACCTCTGCCCTAGAACCAAACTCGGCCAAACTCTAGAAGAAGAGCCACACCCTCTACAATGCTATCACAGTTTAATGTTTTGTGCAAATCCAGAACATGGGTTAATTCAAAAATCAAATTAATTGCACTGTGCAAATGCAACTCCTGGCACAATCTTATGGGAAATTGCTATTGTATTAGCTCAAAAG